TATATAAAACAATAGCTTAAAATGAAACTCTTATTAAGATGATAATTTTAATAGTATATTAGTACTATCTTAAAGCAATTCAAAATGAAGAATAAAGCATGAAAAAATCTTAGAAATTAAATTTTTGGTCATATAGAATTAATGGGTATTTCAATAAACAATTAATGAACATAAACAAATTTACCAGACTTTTTATAGAGTTACAGATCTTTAGAATCTAATCATATAAAAATGGAGAATAATCTTTCCTTTGTATCAATAATTTATGAGTTCAAGTTACATGATAAGAGCTTGATTCAAGCTTCCTAATAATTTTATTATTCTTTCTTTGTTACAATTTAATATATTAATAGAGAGAGAGAAAGAGCAAATATATGCAGTAAGATAAAATAATGTACATGGATATATCTAAGGGTATAAAATTTTAGTTTACCTAATTATTAAATGAAACAGGCTTGGATAAATATTTTTTTTAAGATACTCTTAATAGTTATGCTTACATCTAAGAGGAGTGAGTAGAAGGATATATACGTTTATCTTTAAGCTATGAAGTATTTATACAGGGAAGGTTATTTCATGGATGAGATCGAAGGTTTTCCTTAAAAATTCAAATCAATGACTTATTTGAAATGATGTCTCTAACTTAAAAAAAATTTGTAATTTGAGAAAAACCTACTTATATCGTGTTGTTTTGGAATCTATTTACCAGAAAAAAATTTGCCAATTATTAAATCCATATATCTATAAGATTTAGCTTTGGATAGATGTTTCAGAATTAAGTTAGAGTAAGTAGAATTAGTTGGTTCTTGAAAAATTTGACGAAAATTTGGTTATCTACAGAATAATAATTAAGATAAGCTTACAGATAGTAACGGCTGATTAATGAGCTTTAATAATAAGATTAGAACTGCCATTGCTTAAAATTAGTTGGGGACAATGATCACGTGTTTGGGCTTTCAAAGGTCAATGTAGAGTATTATTATCTTTGATTATTAGAATCATAAAAATTTTAAATAAATGAATTAGAAGAAAAAATGAGCATCAATATTGTAAAAGAACGCCTGAATAAGCTAAATAAAGAAATTTGAAGAGAAAAAAAAAATAATAATAGTAAATTAAAACTGAATTATAAATAAAGAGAACATTATTTATACAAACTGATATTATTCTGAAAAATGCTATTAATAAGTGGTCATCTATCATAAAATGTTAGGTTCACGAATATTATGAAATTTATTTGTTAAAATCGATATATTAACTGAAAAAAATCTATTATTTTACACCACATTTCCTGTCCACAAATTTCTGAGTTTAAAATGACCAAAGTCAGCATTAAGAATCATTTTCATTTCTTTTTTCGTATTTTCGCTTTCATCTTTTCAGATAAGATCAAATTCTGTTTTTATTTTATCCCATTTATTTCTTTAATTTTATTACAATTCTATTTTTATTATATTTTTTTTAACTCATGCCCTCTCAAATTTATTATTTAATAAAATAGATCAAAACTGCTCAATGAACAATACTGAAAAATGGATTTCTAATTTATATCTCGCTTAATTCTTAAAAGAATTTATGTATATGAATTAGTGCCCAAAGATGAAAAAATTGGCATTTTTTTCAAATGGGTTCTTAAGAAATTCATTTTTTTTCAATAGGACTAAACTGTGGTATATAAGGAGGTAAAAACCTATAAGAAATCATATCAAAATCAATTTGCTTCATTTATAATATAAATTAAAATAATGATTCAATAAAATATGACAATTTTATTGACATTGATATATTGTGAGAAAGAGGGTTTTTCCAACAATTTTTATTTATATATTACAAATTCAAATTTTTTGTCTCTTTACATCTGGTTCAAAAATATCTAAATTCTGTAAGCCATTATTAAATAATTGTTTGAGGACAATTCATTTATAAACTAAATCAAAATTATATTTACTTCATAAATGGTGTTAATAGACCAAGTCTGCTGAGATGTTGAGGCTATACCTTCTCTTAAGCTGTAATTCTTTGAATTTGCAATAATTATTTTTATTCTGAATGAAAAGGAATGCTTTTTATAATTTTTAATCTGTATAATGAATTGAGGCAACATATCGTTAGATCATTCTATTTAAGATATATTTCAATATCATTAGCTTCTGGATCATTTTGCCCATAAGAGCAATATAACTAATAGAAAAATTTCTCAAGTTTTTTGTATTTCTTTTGACTTGTAGATTGTATTTTTCCTTTTCGATAAAATTAGTTTGACTTCATTCTGTAAGATTATCTATTTTAATAATAAATGTAAAATTACTTAACTTTATTAAGGCAAATCTGTTGTTCTTAGATTCTTCTGTTACAAATCTGTCTTTATATTCAAATCTAGTTCTTTTTCTTATTAAAAAATGTTATGTTCCACTTCTCTATAACATTCTCGACAAAAATTAGAGTGATGAATCAAAATATTTTCAAATGATGATTTTGATAATATTTTATAATACAATACAAAAAGAGTTCAGGATGAGAAATTATTTGCTAATAAGTTTTAATATTAATATTAACAGTTTAGTTTAAATTAAAAAAAACTTTGGAAAAAATTATAAGTTCATATAACCTGGTTGTTTATGAGTTATCCAAATTATGGAATTTTAGTAGCTTAAATTTAAATCTTGCTTTCCTGTCCAGCTGCCTGAAAGTATCAAGATCATATATTAGTGAATCATATTTTCGTTAGAATTTATCTAAGTCTGAATTACTGGAAAATGTTTTAATAATAATTCAATACAGTTGAAACCCCAATAAAATATATAGTTGGTTATTTTGAGGAAAGAAAGATTTTTTATGGTTTAAATTATATCTTCCCAAATTTCGATTAGTAATTTTTTCTTCTCTTTATTTTGAGTTATTTTACATAAATTTATTTTGTATATGGTAAGTTCAATCTTAAATTTTTCATCTATTAATCTAAGATTTACATCTGAGGTGAAACTTAAGAAAATTTTATATATTTTGAAAAAATGATTAATTGATTTCCCATAATCAACAATGTTTGCCTTATTCAAGAATTTCAAAATAATTTAATCATTAAACATTTATCATATAATCTCCTATAATATTTGAAAGTTGAAAAGAGTTTTTCATTTATCAAAGAAAAACCACAATGATGATTTTATTAAAACTATTAAAAATGAAATAGAACATTAGATTAAATTATGAGAGGAAATTACAGTCATTGAGTAGCTTATGAAAATAGACTAAATATATTTAATTCCTTCATTTGATATTTATCACAGATTTTTTTTGACCAATCTGATTTCTCTGAAATAATTATTTCATAAAGGATTAATCTTCTTTTTGTTACTCTTATTAAAATTAGGCCGTATCTAATCTCTAACTGTGATGGATGATACTACTGTCTTTTTTTTGATAATCAATTTTACTGAAGACTCAATAAAAAAAATATCATCAAATAGGTCTATTATTTATGTAAAGAATATTATATAATTAACAATACTTTTTTTCAATAGAATAAGGATTTGAAAATTTGCAGAAACCTACAATTTAGAATTACAAACGAAATGCTTTTCTTCCTTTTATGAACTCTATTCATTATTAAATAAAAAATAATGATATTATTAAAGAAAAAAGAAAAATTAATTAATACTTGACTTAATTGCTTCTATCCTCAATACGCATATGTGACTCTTAGCCACAATATGAAAATCTTTATAAAGCCTTGATTTTATGATAAATCATGAATCTCATCTATTATATAGAATCTTTTTTGAATAGGAGAAAATAAATGACTTCAAATTTTATCAAAAATAAATCGCTACGATTAATAATTGCAATGATTACTAAGAATGAATATAAGATTTAAATAAATTTATGAATGGTTGAGTTATAAGTTTATAAAAACACCATTAAGAACTTAGACTATTAATTTAGATTAAAAATCGATTGTAAATAATAATACAACGAAAAACCAAAGCAGATAACTTTGTAATACATCGTTTATTTTTTTTAACACCAATCGGATCATTATATTGTAAAAAATTCAAAATTTATTTTAATTTAGATATAATTTGGGAAAGTTTAATGATATTTGCTTTTTAAACAAGCTGTAATGCAACTTTAGAATATCCGCATCAGTGATGAATATATCTTTATCCTTCCGAAGTAATGATTACAATAGCTTAATTCATCTACTTTTATTATCATACACTAAAAAGATGCATTAATGGTTTTTATTAAAGATATGGTGTTTAACATTAGAAATTTTGGAGTCGAGAAAATGTTTGAAGTATTTTGACTTAATTACTTTATCAAAGATAAAATTAAAATTTATATAATGGCTGAAAAAAAAACAAAAGTATAAGTACAGTCTATAAATGATCTTATATCGAATAGCTAACTAATAACAGTAGCTAAACTTACCATCTAGGCATCAGAAATCGGAACTCAGAAGAATCAGGTACATGGATGACTAGGAATATAGATACTAATATATAGTTGACTTTTGAAATTCTTCCCCTATCCTACCTTCAGAAAGTTCGAAAGATTCTACTCATCATCACAATAATCAAAGTATCGGTGGTAATAATGTAACACTGTTGTATGGAAGATAAAAACGTTTCAAAATAATTCCATTGTAGTCAATCGATTCTCTGACTGCATGGCCTCTGATATGGTTATCTGAGATCGTAAATAATAAAATTAAATTTTTTAGTTTGATCTTCAAATTTCTTAACTTGAATTTAAGTTTGTATTTTTGAATTGATAATCTAAGATTCAATCAGAAATAGCATACATATCAGACTAATTTTGTACAAATAAACAAATCTTAGTCCTTTTTTAGATTAGATTGATCCCTCTCACTTATTTCTTCGACAACCAATAGCAAAAACAATTTTGAATTGGATGCATAATATAATATAAATTACATAAATTAAATCAATACAATCTGCCAATTTTATTGACTCAATATAAATCATTTATATTAAGATTTTTTATTTACAAATGTAAAATTTTTCTTTTTCACCAAAAATATATAAATCCAAAAATTAATCTTAAATTTGAAATGAAAAATTCATACTGTGAAGAAGAAGCCTTCTTTTTCATAGTATAAAAAAATAGGTAAAAGAGGTCTTCTTTTTCAATCTCCAATTTTTTAATCTAAATGAAATATATTGAGTAATAAAATTGGAATATTATATTATGAAGCCAATTCAAAATTGCTTCTGATATTGGCTATGTGAATGCAAATTACATGATTTAATTGATTTATTGCATTCGTTATGAACTACAATACATTACTATTAGACCAATTTCTAAACATACCCGAAAAATACTGTTCAAATATTCACACATATATTATGAAACTAATAAAATAAACATTTTGTTTTAGCGTGCATCGTCTCAGCTTCTTCTTATTTTTTGGTTCTTAATCATCACACCATTAATCACCATTTTATAACTTATTTATGCTAACTGGGAAATTCTTGTAGCTAATTCATGTAAGATGTACGACCTAAATGCCAAAATTCCTCTTTTACAAACAAAAAGCTCATCAAAAAACTTGGATTAATCCAATATTAATTACCATGTATAAATATATTAAATCCCAAGATCTATGAGGTCTTTTATCTGTTTATTCTTTAATTATTTTTTTTGGAATATTATTCTTTCTTNTTTTATTAAAGATATGGTGTTTAACATTAGAAATTTTGGAGTCGAGAAAATGTTTGAAGTATTTTGACTTAATTACTTTATCAAAGATAAAATTAAAATTTATATAATGGCTGAAAAAAAAACAAAAGTATAAGTACAGTCTATAAATGATCTTATATCGAATAGCTAACTAATAACAGTAGCTAAACTTACCATCTAGGCATCAGAAATCGGAACTCAGAAGAATCAGGTACATGGATGACTAGGAATATAGATACTAATATATAGTTGACTTTTGAAATTCTTCCCCTATCCTACCTTCAGAAAGTTCGAAAGATTCTACTCATCATCACAATAATCAAAGTATCGGTGGTAATAATGTAACACTGTTGTATGGAAGATAAAAACGTTTCAAAATAATTCCATTGTAGTCAATCGATTCTCTGACTGCATGGCCTCTGATATGGTTATCTGAGATCGTAAATAATAAAATTAAATTTTTTAGTTTGATCTTCAAATTTCTTAACTTGAATTTAAGTTTGTATTTTTGAATTGATAATCTAAGATTCAATCAGAAATAGCATACATATCAGACTAATTTTGTACAAATAAACAAATCTTAGTCCTTTTTTAGATTAGATTGATCCCTCTCACTTATTTCTTCGACAACCAATAGCAAAAACAATTTTGAATTGGATGCATAATATAATATAAATTACATAAATTAAATCAATACAATCTGCCAATTTTATTGACTCAATATAAATCATTTATATTAAGATTTTTTATTTACAAATGTAAAATTTTTCTTTTTCACCAAAAATATATAAATCCAAAAATTAATCTTAAATTTGAAATGAAAAATTCATACTGTGAAGAAGAAGCCTTCTTTTTCATAGTATAAAAAAATAGGTAAAAGAGGTCTTCTTTTTCAATCTCCAATTTTTTAATCTAAATGAAATATATTGAGTAATAAAATTGGAATATTATATTATGAAGCCAATTCAAAATTGCTTCTGATATTGGCTATGTGAATGCAAATTACATGATTTAATTGATTTATTGCATTCGTTATGAACTACAATACATTACTATTAGACCAATTTCTAAACATACCCGAAAAATACTGTTCAAATATTCACACATATATTATGAAACTAATAAAATAAACATTTTGTTTTAGCGTGCATCGTCTCAGCTTCTTCTTATTTTTTGGTTCTTAATCATCACACCATTAATCACCATTTTATAACTTATTTATGCTAACTGGGAAATTCTTGTAGCTAATTCATGTAAGATGTACGACCTAAATGCCAAAATTCCTCTTTTACAAACAAAAAGCTCATCAAAAAACTTGGATTAATCCAATATTAATTACCATGTATAAATATATTAAATCCCAAGATCTATGAGGTCTTTTATCTGTTTATTCTTTAATTATTTTTTTTGGAATATTATTCTTTCTTTAAGATGAATTGATTTTGGCATATTAGTTGATTTCTTTAAACGAATCAATGGATTCATTTAATTCATACTTTTACATTGAGTTTCTACTAAATGAGGAAAATGTTTTTCCTATAATTTTTTGATATTTTTATCTTCAA